TCATCATAAGATCATTTTAATACCAAACTTTCTATTTTGAGCAAAAAAAAAATACCAACTTCTTAATGAACCATAAAATACACAAACTTATGTTGATTCAACCAAATTAGGTATAAAATTAGTCAACTTCAGCCAGAGCCAAGGTCTGGAGACATAGAGAGCCGAGATCCTTGAAGGCCATAGCCTGAGTCCAGAGATATGTTAAAACACAAGATCCTTGGAAATCGTAACCTGAATCCGGAGACCTGGAAGGGCGAATCTGCTCCTTAGAACCGAACTGCATAGGACTGATATCCCGAGCAACTGCTATCCCTTTCTTTTTTCTTTGGAAAAAGAATAGAAAATACAAATGTTAGGCCCTTCCGAAGTTGCCAAAACCTCGGGATTACGTCTAACGACCCATGAGTACTTAGCGATAAAGTAAAAGGAAACTAACGATCCCAAACGGAGTGATGAAATTACTTAGCTGGAGTTTTGACGATGAGTCTTCTTTCATATGCTCGTTCTTTTTTTCTTCTTTTCTGAAATGTTGGTCGAATCATTTTCGTGCCTTGATGTCGTTGTCTGCTCTAAGTGCGAAGCCGATCAAGTTTCTGAGGATCTCGTCTCTCCATTTCTCCGAACGTGGACTGTGGTCTTAACTTAACTTATTTTATACCTAATTTGGCTGAGTCAACATAAGTTTGTGTATTTTATGGCTTACTAAGAAGTTGTTATTTTTTTTTTGCTCAAAATAGAAAGTTTGGTATTAAAATAACCTTATGAGATTTTTTTTCCTAATTTCAAAATGACCCAGTTTTGAAACTTAATGGATAAAGTAAACGGTAGTTAACAGTTTTTTATCGGCTGTTTAACCTGACTAATTCTATACCTAATTTGGCCGAGTCAACCAAAAGTTGTTTTTTTTTACTCATTAGAAATTTGGTACTTATTTTGGCTCAAAACGGATTGTTCGGTATTAAAATAACCGTTTTTCTTTTAAAAATACTATAATCCAAAATACTTTTTTAAAACTACCACATTTTCAATTTTTTTCTTTCTCTCTCCTACTCCAAAAGACCATTGTGCCCATCATCTATTTCCTCTCTCTCTCTCCCTCAACAAAAAAGTAAATAGTGGTTGACGAACGACAGTGGACAAGTACCACGGTGGTAGACAAGTTGGGGTGGTAGATAAGTTGGGGACGGTGGTAGTAGACAAAGACGGGGATGGAGACGATGGTAGACAAAAATGGAGGCGGAGATGTGGTGGACAAAAATGACGACGGAGACGGTGGTGGACAAACGTATAAACGGTGGTGCTCAAAGATAAAAATATTATGAACGAAAATACGAAAGTGGTTGATGACGGTGGTGGATAAATATAGAGACTATGGTCGCAGACAAAAACAACGACGGGATGAAGACGGTGGTGGTCAAAGACAGAACGGGTGATCGTGGACAAAAATGACTGTGGAACCTGTGTGGACAAAAACGAAATATTGTGAACCAAAACATATACCATGTACTCATACTATCAACATCACCTCGTACTACTACGCCGAACGACTTCTCTCTCACCTAGGGGTATAATTATCTTCCTAAGTCAGGGGAATAGTGAATTGTGGTATATGTCGAAAAATTAAGTTTTTGAGATATAATATTTTGAAAAAAAAATTTCTACATAATATTTTACTCTCAAATCGTAAAAGAAAAAAGTTACAAATTTTTTATTATTGAAATGTCTCTAACTCCGTATATATCTCAGGGCGACCCTAGAATAGGGATTGCCAAAAGTACTCGAGTAGTAGAGCTTAAAAAAACTCTACAAACATTTTTTTTTTGTCTGCAACTCTAGAAACATTTTTACCTCCAAACTTCATTAACTTAAATAATTGACGTTATATTATTACATATAAATTTGGGCATTATTTGTATATCGGTATATGTATATGTTTATTTGTTTGCGGTACTTTTTTGTGGTGTGATTCGATTTAGGATTATGATAAAGTTTTGTCTTTTTACACCGTTTGGTAGGTCTTGTGGTGATCGATGAGTAGTCGTCCCACAAAGAATAAAAGTCACGTCATGTTTCTTTTTATCATTGTCAAATACTAATTGA